AGAGGACGGCTCACAACCAGGAGAAACATGAACTGGCCATCAGGGATCCCATTTCTCCTCCTCGACAAAATCGGACGCGTCGATTTACTCCATGAATCATTTGGGGGAAAAAAAAGATTTCAATTGAAGTCATGAAACCTAAGTCATGAGATTAAAAAAAAAAAAGCATCTCAAAACATGGCACTATTTTTAACACTCGCTAGTTTCCCAGGTCAGGAGAGAGTGGCCTGGCCTGGCCTCAATAGGAACCAAGGGTCACAGCATTTTCTGCTCCATGTCAAGAAAAGGGCTGCAAAATTGTGCAGGTGGGAGCTGCACACGCAGGAGGGAGGAGAGCCTCTTTGTGCTGTTGTGCAGTAATATCAGCACACTTTAAACACACACACACTCAAGACCCACACTTGTCATCAGGTCAACAGAGTTTTGCACGATGCACCAAGAAATCCAATAGGAACGGTCTTCTCCACAAACGGTGCTGGCATGACTGGATATCCAACATGGAATGAAGGGACCTCGACTCCTCATACCAAACTCCCCCAAATTAATTCAGGATGGATGTAGACTTAAACATAAACGCTAGAACTATAAAGCTTCTAGAAGAAACACGAAAGACTATCTTTACAACTTGAGAGTTTCTTAGAAAGGACATAGAGAAAATCGATAAAGTAGATTTTAGTAAAATGAAAAATTTCTGCCCAGTAAAAGACACTGTTAAGAAAATAAACATGTTGCTGGAGGAGTGTGGATCCCGAATGTTCTCACCACAAGAAATGGTGATTGTGTGATGCAACGGCGGTGTGGGCAAGCGCTACAGTGGTGATCTTTTTGCAACATATGGGATATCAAGTCAACATGTTAAACTTACACCATGTTCTATGTCAACTGTATCTCAGTAAGGCCGGAGAAAAAAAACAAACAAACAAGCCATACACTGGACTGAATATGTGCAAAACTGATCTGACAAAGGGCTGATGTCCAGAAATATATAATGAAGGTTGTTTGGCTGTACACCCAGTTGCACAAGCAGAGCGGGACAGGTTGCAGAGAGACTGAAGAAAAGACCTGGAGATGGTACACAGGGCATAAAGGTTTACTGCGTCTTGCTTGTGGGGAATGTCTGGGAGTGGCCGGCTGGACCGAATGGTGCACCTGCACCCGCTACCGTGAATGGAGAGGGGGATGCTTATATAGGCAGGGGAACAAGACTACATGCTTGCCAAGAGGGACTGTCCTAGCATGGGCAGCATTCCAAGGATCACAAGCTCACGTGGAAGAGCTCTGTGTTCCCTCAGAATGTGATGTTCTTTGAGAGAAACAGTTACAATGTCGGATGGTGGGTGTTCTGCCAGGACACATGGTTGCTATAAGGCACACAGCTTATTGCCAGGCAAGCATGACCCTACAAATGTCTACAACTTAATAACAGAAAGACAAATAATCCGAGAAAAGGCAAGAGAATTGAATAGATACTTCACAGAGGAATATATACAAATGGCCAATAAGTACATCGTCATTAGTCATCAGGGAAACATGAAGGAAACCTGCAATGAGTATACCATACACCTGACAGGACGGCCAAAGACTGACAACGCCAACTGCTGCCAAGGAAGGGAGCTACTGGAACTGTCATACATTGTTGGTGAGGGTATCAATGATACGAGCACTTTGGAAAAGATCTAGAAGTTTCCTGTAATACTAAACATACACCTGTCCTATCATCCAGCAATCCCACCTCCCCAAAATGAAAGCTTTTGTTCTCAAAAAGACTTGTACTGGAATGTTCACAGCAGCTTGATTCATAACAGCTTCAAACTGGAAAGGGCCCAGGCGTCCATCAGTTGGAGACTGGACAAACTGTGGTGGCTGCACCCTCGGCAACAAAAGGAACTGCTGACACCTGCAGTGACACGGATGGATCTCATCACTCTGAGTCAAAGAGGCCTCACACCAGAGTGATTCTGTTTCCATGAAGTTCTAGAAAAAGTCAAACTAATCTGTGGTGAAAAAATTCAGACCGGTGGTTGCCTCTGGGGGTGTGAGAGGGGTAGGGGTTGACCGGGCAGAGCAGAAGGGAATATTCTGGGTATTGTACTGTATGGTAAAGTACTGTATCTTGATAGTTTGGGGTCCACTCATCAGAACTTGTGAAACAGTACATTTAAGTTCTGAGCATTTCACTATGAATTTTATCCCCACTGACCCTCAAATATAAATAAATATTAGACTCTGGCTAACAACAAGCTGAAGTATTTGGGAGGGGGAGTGCACTGTTTGCAACTCACTTAGAAATGCATCAAAAACTAAGATAAATTGCACCAGCCCGGTGGCGTAGTGGTTAAGTTTGCGGGCTCTGCTTCAGCAGCCTGGAGTTCGCCGGTTCGGATCCTGGGTGCGGACCTAAGCATTGCTGATCAAGCCATGCTGTGGCAGGCGTCCCACATATAAAATAGAGGATGATGGGCACAGATGTTAGCTCTGGGCCAGTTTTCCTCAGCAAAAAGAGGAGGATTGGCAGCGGATGTTAGCTCCAGGCCAATCTTCCTCAAAAAAAAAAAAAAAAAAAGAAAGAAAGAAACAAAACTAAGATGAATTGAAGGATGGATAGAGGGACGGCTGAACGGTTATGTAATAAAGCAAATACAGCAAAATGGTAACTGCACAATCTAGGTGGGGAGTAAATGGGTGTTCACTGAACAATTCTTTCAACTTCTCTGTAAGTTTGAAAATTTTCATAATAAAATGTTGGGAGGAAAAAACTGAACAAAGCTATAAAAAATGGATAGAGCCACGGTGCTTAGCCTGCACCTCAGCTCCAAAATCAAAGAACTACAGAAGCATTTGCAGGAAACACGGAGGTCCCCACACCCATGTCTGCCTCCAGGTTTGGCCGCGGTCCTCAAGAAAGACACAGCCCTAAGCACAGCCCCGTCATACTATGCCTCTGGACCTCAGTTGTATCAAAACACCCGAAGCACCATCCCAGGGTTGTTATGCCCAAGACACTCAACAAAGCCTGGTGTATATGTCTGGAGGGGCGGAGGGCCAGCCCAGTTCACCTGTTTTAACTCATCTGTTACCTTTGGGAAAATAGGGGCCCGGGCGTGTACGAGGTCTCCGCTGGGTATTTAATTCTAAGCCAAGTCCCACGTGACCATGCCTATGTGGGCTCCCGTGGATGGAAGCAGATACCATGAGGGTTTCAGATCAGAAGCGTAATCTTCCACTATAACTACAGTTTCTTGCGCACTGTGTATGCTGGGCATTTTACCTAATTTCATTTAATCCTGGAAACCATCCTAGGAGGGAGGTTTCTTATCCTGATTTTACGACTGAGGAAACTGAAGCTCTGAGAGGGTACTAAATACTGGGTCCGGGAACACACAGCTGTAGCTGGCAGGAAAGCAGAGTTCCATGAGGCTCGGGAGCACAGGCCCTTTCTGGAAAGCAAGCAAGGAGGGTGCAATGTGTGTCTGTAAAGCTCTGTGAGCAGAGAGCACCGGGCTTCAGGGCACAAGGAAGAACTTCATTACGTGGGGCAAGAGGCCAGCCTGCGCTCCCAGTGAAGACCTGCACCCCGCGGAGGCTGTTGGCCCGCCCGGCGCTCTGCATCTCCACGCAAGGCCTGCCCCTTAGGCCACACGTGTTTTTTCATTTGTGCCCAGCCACAGCCTGCTGCGGGTTTTCCCTCTTGTTCAGCGTGTTAAAGAGAAGCATCAGGCACTCCGCGCACCCGCCCCCCCGCCCAACCCCATCCCCCGTAGGTTTTCATGACTCGGCAGGGTCCGCAGCACCCTGGAAGGCCCTCCTGGTGATACTGTCCTCACCGCCTGTCTCCACCCTCCTGCATGCATCTCCACCAGCTGTGAGCAGTGACAGCTCAGCAGGGTGAAGCTCGTCCTGCCAAGTCTGGGTTTGCAGCTTTGTGGCTATCAAACTCCTGGGGAAGGGGGAGGCGGGGAAGAGGGAAGTGTCAAGAGGCTCTTAATTGGGGAAAGTGTTACAAATCTGAATTCCAGGTAAGAGCTCAGATTCCTCCTGTGGAAAAACGCAGACAGCCATTTGCCCCAGAGCTCAACTCCAGCGCTGGGCGTCTGACTCCTTAAGGCAGCTATAGGGGTTAGAGGCAAAAAAAGAAAAAAAAAATCCATAAACACTGGGCTTAAGGACTTACCAGAGCTTGTCAGGGGTGATCTTTACAGGGAAACATCTATGTAGAGATTGAATATGTCATTCACTTATAAAAAAGAAGAAGGAAAAAACCAGAATCCTATGAAAATTTCTTTAATTTTCACCTTCTGGAAATACATTTTTCATTTTTATTTCCATGATACAAAAATGTTAAATATCTAACATTGATCTATATGAAGCAGATCTATGAAGTAGATCCAGGAAATTCTGTCGCTCTTGCGATCTGTTTCAACAGAGAAAGGGCTGGTGCATGTTGTAGATTTGTCATGATTCCACGCACACACGTACGCGCGCACACACGCACATGGACGCACACACGCCACCCAAACAAACAGAGCAGATGACCAGGCTAAGACTGGAAGAGTGAGCGCAGCACTACAGGTAAAAGAGAAATGAACTTTTTCACTCATACACTCCGCTCTGAGAAACTCACATCTTAGGAAAATAACTCTGCATAGATATGCCCCAGAGGCCAAGGCATATTTTAAGTTCCTTTCTGGGTTGATGCGGGAGACGTTTTCCTACTGGAGACACAAGTTTGAGAGCTTAATATTCTCAGGCTGCTGTGGCGGGAAGCAGGCAGACACGGCCGATCTCTCCACCGGGAGACTGGAACCGCGTCCTGCCACTGCCCCAGACTCTGAGCGTGAGAAGATGGATGAGAACCTCTCGAAGGTGGAAAGAGCTCAATCCCAAAGCCATGGTCACAGCATCCAAGAATCTCGGCTCTTTTGCATATTTCAGGGGTGACATTCCCCATCCGATGGATTCTTAAACACACTAATTCATGACAGGAAAAGTTTCACACAAGCAACAAGTAATTAGCTGGTTAATAATGCACACGTTCACGACAGCCTACAACTGTGCTGAGTGTCAGCAGGCAGTTTACATTAAAAAGGAAGAAAAGAAACACAGCTGCAAAAATAAAAACTGGCTTTTTTCAGGAGACATACTTGGTTTCAAACCCCTCCCATACCACATTTATTAAATTAAATACAGTATGGCTTCCAAATGTGCCGGCTGGCTCCTCCTCGGCGACAGTACCAGGAATTCGTTGTGCTCAGGTCTGGGTTACCACGTGTCAGGAACTTCAAAGAGCTTGGCAGAGCTGTCCGACAGGCTTCCTGGTGGGAAAGGACAAAGAAGATGAACACGGCGAGGACAGCACCTGGAGGAGAGGCGGCAGAAGGGCACGCAGCAGTGCCCGGTGCGGGGGCAAGGACAGCGTCGGCTAGGCCAGGGTAGGGCGGCTGCACAGCCTCAGCTGAAGAAGTCCACAGACAGGTCCTGTCTATGGAGAGGTGATGCCCCGGAACAGCACAAGCAGGATTAACGTAGGCCTCCCTGCCTCGGCTCGGGCGCCTCTATTTTATGGGGGTTAAAATGTGGATGCTTACAACGTTGCTCAGTGAGCACACGCACTGTATGCTTTGCTGGCCAGCTGGGCCACTAAGTGCTGGGCACTTAGTCCACTTAGTCTTCATAAAAGTCCAACACAGTGGTATCAATATCCCCATTTTACAGACGCAAGAACAGGCTCCGAGAGGCTGGGTAAGACGACCAGTCACACAGCTGGGGAGCGGCTGGGAGGGGATTTGGATCCTTCCACGGTCCCAGGAGACTGGGTTTCTCTGTGCTGCGGTGTACTGGCACCTAGATGAGAAATCTCAGGGGCTGGTGGCTATAGAGTGGCGGCTAGCTGACCAGTGGGGGTTCAGAGATCCCAAAAAGGGCCAGAGAAGCCTGCAGCTTTTTTCAATTTCAGCAACACTGCCTGAGGTCTTCCTCGAGTGAAGGGCTTCTTCAGTTGCAAACAGTGTCGCCCCAAAGCTAGCAGCCCTTCTCCTCTACTCATGCTACTTTCTGCAACGGCAGCAGCAGCACAGCTGGGTCAGAGCTGAGCGAGTGGGAATGAAGTCAGGAGAGAGCGTGTTCCCTACAGAAAGTGTGGCAGACCAGGCACTACTGCGAGAGCGGTGTCACGTGTTCCTGAAGCCATAAAGCAGGGCTGGCAGGAAAACCGGCAAAGGCGAGCCCAGCTGCTAACACTCCAAGATTTCAAAAGGGGAGAGAAGTCTTTGATGCTGCCTGAAATGGAGAGTAACTTTTAAAAATGGGTGTGTGTGTGTGTGTGTGTGCAGGGTCCCACAAAGCAGGAAATCGCTCAGCTGAGAGTGGCTGCTGTCAACTACAGGAATGCCTAAAGCTAATAGCTATAAACACACGAAATCATGGTGATTTCAGCTACAATGGGAATTCCCACTTCTGATCATTTCTTGAGATAAAATCCAGAGTGACAGGATGAGAAGACCAGGAGAGGGCTAAGTTGTCTCATCGCTGTGTTGAGCACGCATATCTCAGGACCCAGTACAGATTGCCAGGCTGCTCCTGAGAAGGGCCGAGGGGCAGCAGATGACCCACGTGACAAAGATTCCCAGGAGCCAGTTAGAAAGGGAATAAAGATGATTAAAAAACAAAACAAAATACAAACACTGTCCCCCCCAGAACAACTCAGTACTGCAGATGGCCCCTGATGCGACACAATGGCCTGAGCCTCAGCCACACTGTCATACAATATCTAATCAACATCCGTAAGGGCATTTTTATAACTCACATATCAAAGAACTATTACAGCAGCCTGTTAGCCACTGTAAAGGTCACAGCTACAAGGCCAAACATGGGGAACTAAAGTAAATTAAAACTAGCTGAGAGGAAAAAAAGATCAATGCCTAAAAGCAACTACACCGTCATATCTACAACAGCACCCGCTGTGGTCAGGCGGGAGTGTGTGTGAGTGAGGCCCCACGCTGTCCACACACAGGAAGGGACTCCATGAAGGGCTGGGGAGAAAGAACGGAATAAACAAAAGCTCTGGGCTGAGCCAGTCTGGCCTGCCCATTGTACTAGTTGCATGACTCAACAGCTCTCACGGCCTCATCTATAAGATGGACTGAATATGACTTCATGCCACATAGGACTTCTGTGACGGAGCAAAGTTCCTGGCACGGAGCAAGGTTTTAATGCACATTAGGTCCCTTCCCCTTATCAACAAGGTGGCCCAACATTGAACACGGCTGTTCCCCAGGAAGCCAACAGTCTGCTAGTTTCCACTGCCTAAAACGTGCAGCTCTGAGCAAGAAGGACGCGCACAGAGGACCCAGGGCTTGAGCGGCTCCGTCCCTCCACCAGTACTGGGACTGTCCTTTTTAGCCACTCTGATGGGTATACAGTGGCATCTCATCATGGCTTTGATTCGAATTTCCCTAATGACTAATAATGTTAAAGTGTGTCTTCATGTGATTATTTGGCTTCCAAATCTCTTCTTTGGTGAAACATCTGTTCAGATCTTTTGCCCATTTTTTTCCTTGGGTTGTTTGTTTTCTCCTTATTGAGTTTTGAGAGTTCTTTATATATTCTGGATACAAGTCCTTTTGGGTGTTTTGCAAATTCTTCCAGACTGTGCTTTTCTTTTCATTCTCTTAACAGTATCTTTCAGATAGTTGAAGTTTTAAATTTTAATGATATTCAATTTATCAGTTTTTATCTTGGATTATGCCTTTGGTATCAAACCTAAGAAATCTTTGCCTGACTCAAGATTGCAAAGATTTTCTCTTATGTTTTTGTCTAGAAGTTTTATACAAAGTTTTAGGTTTTACATTTAGGGGTACAATCCATTTTGAGTTAATCTTTGAGTGTGATACGAGATAAGGATTGAGGTGGGAATGCACAATGGTGCAGCCACTTTGGAAAACAGTGTGCCTGTTTCTTATAAAGCTAAACATATAGTTACCATCTGAGCCAGCAAGTCCACTCTTGGGTATTTACCCAAAAGAAATGAAAACTTAGTTCATACAAAAACCTGTACACAAATGTTTATAGCAGCTAAATTCTAAAAACCAGTAACAACCTAAATGCCAACTGGCAAAATGGATAAACAGCAAAACGCCCATAAAACAGAATACTACTCAGCAAGAAGGAACGGACCACTGATACATGCAACAACATGAATGAATTTCAAATGCATTATGCTAAGTGAAAGAAGCCGAATGAAAGACTCAGAAGGTTACCTATTGTATGGTTCCATTTAAATGGCATTCTGAAAAAGGCAAAATTACAGTCAGAGAAAGCAGATCGGCGGTTGCCAGGATGTAAGGGTGGTAGGAGGGACGGACTATAAATTGGCATGAGGGAATCTTCTGGAATGATAAAACTGTTCTATATCTCGTATCTCGATCACAGTGATGATTAACATGACTGTAGACATTTGTCAAAACTCATCAAACTGTATACCTAAAGTCTGTGACTTTTAATATATGTAAATTATATCTTAATAAACGCTGACCTTGCAAAAGATATTAGGAATGTTGTTTAAAAAAATCTAACAAAATTTTAATGTAAAAGATTATGCTGATAATTAAAATTATTTGACCAAGAGTTTTTTTAAATGAGGAAAAAACAGGATACTAAACTGCATATAGAGTATGATGCCAACTACGTATAAACATAATAGGCAGAGTAAAAACAATTGGTAGAGTACCAGGGAACTGTGGGGTTTAATCTCTTCTGTATTTCTTCTTTTACAGATTTTCACAGTGAGCATATTATTTTTATTAACAAAAACAACAAAAGAACTTAAAAAGGGGTAAACACGAAAGGTGACTGTTTCTGCTTATTTAGCTTTGAACTAAGTAGAGTTGAAAGGGAGAAGCTCTGAGAGGTAAGACATCTCTTCCCTCAGGTAAAGCCAAAACAGAGGCTAAAGAACAACACGGTAGGCTGGAAATCTGCCATTGTAGCATTTTCTCCAGAGCGGAATTCTATATAGAGAAGATCCTTTGCGGTGCCATACAAAAGTTTTTGACTAGGAAATGCTCCAAAGGCCTGGTGATGGGGTGGTTTCCCACACCAGGAAGGCAGGGCTCCCCCTGGGTGGCTTATGGGGAGCCCAGAGGGCTGCCAGGAGGAACAGGGAGGGCACGAACAGGCACTGAGCACACTGCTCACAGCACAGCACACACCTCATCTGCCACATTTAGGCTGTAAACCACATTTTAAGGGGGTGATTAAAAGCTCCTGGGAAGGTCGCTGGACTTCCCTAGCCCGGTGGCGTAGGGGACCGACAGCAGCAACTGCAGATCTTGTTTCTGACTCTAAGGAGACCTGTAATTGCATGACGAGACTGCTGCTCTAAGTAGCTCCTAAAGGTTTAGACTGTAACCCTAAGGGTCTAAGCTTGAAAAGCTCAGCAGATTAGTCAAGACTCCAATAAAACTCATAGCTCCTGGCAAACATTTAAAGGTCTAATGTGCTGTGTTTCAAACATAAGGGGGAAAAAGACTTGGAATGACTTCTCTATTACACGATAAAAATCCCCAGGAACAGTCCATTCTCTTGGCACTCCTCCACGAAGGCTGCCTACAGGGCGCCAGGGGAACCTCCGGTATCGGAGTGTCCATGAGCACGTATTTTGAGGACGGCCAGTCTGCTCAGCATCAGGCCCCCGGAACACTGTTCACTTACTCAGCAAGTACATGTGTGCTGTGGAACTCGTCCATCACACACCGTCTGAGGAACGTTTCCTAGAGATAGCAGATTCCAGCATAAATGGCGCACGGAACTCTTTGCCTTTATGTACCCACTGAGAATGTACCTTGAATTCCCCAGAGGAGAAGCAGACAGCACTACGAATCTAAACTAATCGTAATCAACACAAACGGAGAGGACTTACAAGTTTGCTTCCTGAAAAGAGGATAGAAACAACAACACTTAAGAGAAAAATATTTGCTAAGTCCATAATATATACATCATAAGCTCCAAAAAAGAATGGTCGCTTGGATTTTTATCACATGATCACAAGAAAGTCCAGGTTAGTGACTGTTTCTGATCTAAAACGGCTGCCAGAACTGCCGTTGTAAGGAATCCTTTGCTGCCTCTGAAGTTTGGCCAGGTTTCACAGACTGCAGAGGGGGGCGACGTGCGAGTTCGGGATCAGACAGCCCGCCTCGCCACCCCCAACACCAGACATATTGGACTTTGCAAGTTTGTAATTCCTTGAGCCTTGGTCTCCTCTTGATAAACGGGAAATAACGGACAGAAATCCTTTCATTTAACTCTCTGAGGTGGTCACCACAGTCCATTTTACAAGTAAGAAGACGCAGACCTAACAATGTGACTTGCCCGAGGTCACAGAGCCCCTAATTCTGTCCCACAGGAAGGCTGGTGCTTTTAGACACAGTTTCCTCTTGTCTGCTCAGGATAAGAGGGACGCTGCATTGCTGCATTTTCAGAAGGACTAGACAATAAAGGGCGTCCCTGGCACAATGTGTGGTACATGACACAAACTTAAGCGGTCATGTCTTCTGCACTCTAAGTCATTTTGTGATCTAGGAAGGGGTCTAGCACTTAACTCTTAGTGTATCTTAGATATTAAATGTCTAACTGAGAAAAATGATAGTGTTTTGTGTGGAATTTACCGAGCACTGATTGTCCCAGGAATGCTAGAGGACACAGTATGCTTGGTCCTACTTCCTCCTTGGAAAACACGAAATTCCCTAGAGGTGGCACACTGTCTTTTATGTTTTCCATGCCCTCACTGACAGCGGTGGGCACCCAACACACCTTAGTGAACCCCGAGTACTACCTGTGAGGGTACTCTCCCCAGCAGGAGAGCCAGACCTGCCTTAGAACCTGTCTCTGCAGGACAGACGTAACCACACCGCACCGAACACTAACACGGATCCCGCTAACGCCCAAACGAGGCCCTCCCAGCTCCTGGAGTGCTCTGCACCTCTGAGAGTTTAGCACAAACCCTTCCCAGGCCTGAACTCTGCTCTCACTCATTACAGGACCTTATCAAAGCAAGCGAGCAGTCAGAGTTGGTGGCTTCCAGGGGTTCAGCGCCTGATCTCTTGACCTACATGCTGCTGAGATTGTTAGGAGTAAAGGCTTACACAAACCAGCTGAAAAGGACCCACTACGCTTCCACTCTCGCACCGTTGGAAGGTCTCACTTGGTGAATGGTGCTCAAGAGGAAAGCTCCATTCTCTCAGATTCTCTGATTCAACTACAAGTTGTCAAGACGTTTCTTTCTCTTTCGGTTTTTAGCAGGACTGACAAAGAAGTACAAAATCTATCAGGTTTTTAGCTCAAATCTTGAGGCACTGACAGCTTTACTGTCAATGGGAGGGAAAAAAACTATTTTAATGACGGTATTATAAATTCAAAACCCCAAATAACTCAAAAAAAGTTTTTACTTAAAACGACAAAAGTTATAAAAGGAGCTAATCTATTAACGCAGTCTATTATTAGGTATTTTAATTTTAACACCTTTAAGATTATGCTGAGATAGAAGGAAAGAAACCTAAAATCTTCTCCCTGAGAAGTACCAGATAAGCTGAAAAATTCAAAAAAGAATGAGATACGAAGAAAGAGAGGGAACCCTCCCTCGCCCAGTCACGCTCGGAACGATCTCAAAAAGTCACGCTAACATTTAATATTTAACATTGGTTGAGCAGGTACAATGTGGCCGTGGGAACAAGATCTCACAGATGAAGAGTGAGTACACTACAGATTAAAAACATCGTTAGGGAAAGGAAGGGAGGCAAGTAAAGGGAGACGTGCAGGTTCAGGGAAACGGCTAAACTATACAATCCAGGCTTCAGATGAGAGTTTAAGTTTTCCCTTCAAGTTAAGCTTTGGTATAATGTATAAGAAGCATATGCAACATTTTTGCTGCTTCTTTGATTTCATTAATATCAACAAGATTCAGAAAATTCCCTACGGTCAGATGGGGCCACGTGCAAAAAGAGGGCTTAAGTACAACACAATGAAGCCTCAGCCCGGGTGTGAACAGGATTCCGGTGCTTCGCGACCTTCCTCTGATTCGACTGTTGCTTCTGCTTCCGGATGTGAAACAAAGGAGAGGATACTCGCAGCCAGTCAGCGTCCCTCTCACCCTGAGCAGACAAGAGGAACCTGTGTCTAAAAGCGCCAGCGTTCTTGTAGGACACAGTTAGGGGCTCTGTGACCTCGGGCAGTCACATAACCCTTTAGGACTCTGTCCTCTTACGTGTAGAATGGACTGTGCTGACCGCCTCAGAGAGTTAAATGAAAGCATTCTGTCCAGCGTGAAGTGCCCTCTGAACCCTTAGCAAGTGTCAGTCAGCAGAGCTCTCGGTACCGTCGTCGTGACTGCCGCCTGCTCAGGTGACGCAGACTCCTGAGCGGGGAGTGGCCTTCTCAGAGGCGGGCGGGCCAGCGAGCCCCTTCCTCGCCCCCACGCCCGCACCGCACTGGGTCTGTGCACGCAGGGCTGCGTTAGGTCACGGGCCTCCACGGCACGTCTGGGGACGGAGGGGCCGCGGCACTCGGCTTCACAGGGCCCGGGCTCACCTTCGGGTCTGGCCCCTTATTAACTTCACGGCCCTGCATGGTCTCTTCACCTCCCTGAGCCCAGACATCTGCAGCGCTAGAAGAGGATGGCAATTCCTCTCTCAGGGCTGTCGTGAGGATGAAATTAACTAGGGAGAGAAAAGGCTCCTACTCCGTGTCTAGCACGTGGTAGGCTCTCAAACTGCGTTCATTTCCTGTTTCCTTTGCCCCTTACGTAATTCTGCTTAGAAGAGAAATCCAGGCTGTCGGGGGTTTGCTGGGAACAGTGAAAACTCTGCCACTGAAAATAACATGTGTAGGAGCAGGCCTTCGTGCAAATATAAGTGCACATTTAACAGACTGAGGCCACTTAAACACATCGGCAAAACCTCTAAACCAAGGAGGAGAGAGAGAAGACTACCAAAGCGGACTATCTTTTTTTCCTTTTTTTTTGAGGAAGATTAGCCCTGAGCTAACTGCTGCCAATCCTCCTCTTTTTGCTGAGGAAGACTGGCCCTGAGCTAACATCCGACCCCATCTTCCTCTACTTTATATGTGGGATGCCTACCACAGCATGGCTTGACAAGCGGTGCCATGCCCGCCAAAGCAGAATGTGCGCACTTAACTGCTGCGCCACCAGGACGGCCCCCGGAATAACCATCTTTAACAAGGAGTTCCCCACCAAGCCTTACTCTATCAAGAGTCAGGGCATTTTAGCGATTCCTCAAATTAAATTAAATTGATCCTAAAAACCACGGAGACTACATGGGCTCTCCCACCAACTGAAGCCATGCTCTAATTTCTCCCCCAAACACGAGTTTCTAGAGCACTAAAGAGTATACGATGCCGGGACTTTAGTAAGATCTGATACAAACCTGCTGGAGAAAGGTCTTTCTTCATTCTTTTCAATTTCTTGGCCTTTTTCCTTCCCTCTGAGAGGGATTCTGCACAGGAATCTGTCTGCTCAAGCTCAGCGTCAGAAAGCTCCTCCGATACTCTGGCCTCCAAGCCAGCTTCTGCTCTACTGGGACTCAGGGTTCTCTTTCCTACTGTGCCGGTAGCTGTAAGACTGAAACGCAAACAGTGGAACAACATGAAAGGTGTTAAGAGTAACAGGAAGACTAGCCTATAAAAATATTTTAATACGCTTAATTCCGTTAACACTTAACTAGCAGTCAACCACATGGGCGGCTGCCGCCTGTAGATGAAAGTTGAAGACCTTATCATGACCCGAAGTCTAAAAGTTTACCCATGACAAGCTTCTTCAGCACCAAGTTCTACACTATGCTTGTGCATAGATATACACAAATCTAAACCGTTCTTAGTGCTTCAAAGAACAAATTTTTAAAGCAAATCCCTGGTCTCTATTTTGGTAGAGCTCCTGTAACAGAAGAGTAGAAGAGAAGAGCGGAGCTGCTATAACAAATAATGGTCTTGATTACATCAAATCAGAAGATGGCATTGTTAGCTTCATGACTGCCTAATGGATACACAGAGAACAGAAGGGTTCTTGAGTCTGGCGGCTATCACACTGCTCATGCATTTGAATATGCTTACAGGGCATGCTCCACCTTCATCTAATTCTCTTCTACTCCAAAAAGGTGACTTGTCAAATTCATAATGAAACCTGGCTTCATTTTTAAAGCTTTATAGGATCTGACATGTTGAATTAAATCAGATTAATGTCCAGATTTTTCCTTAAGAAAATATGTTCCCTGAAATACAACTTGATAAAAACAGAGACCACATGGCCAGTGTGAGTCCTGCCTCCTCTAAATGGGCCTTACAAATAGACTTTTTATTATAGGCCCCAAGTTATGAAAAGCATAAAAAAATCAAGTCATTCCGCTTAAGGGAGGCCACTGAAGCAAAGAGAGGGGGTGGAGCGAGGGAGAGAGAAAACTCGAACGTACTCCAATTTAAGCATTCCCTAGGAAGTGAACACTTAAAATGTTACATATAAAAAACTCTGGCTACCCAATTATTTTAGTTCCTCTGTGTTACTCCCGCACTCACATCTTCTCTGTACTTGACACTTGTTCACTCATGTAAAGAAGGAGGAGAATAAACTGCTTCCCTGGTGGTTCTTAGAAGCCAGAGGAAGCGGAACGGGGCTTAGAGTACAGGGCCTCTTAAGACTGGCTGGCTGGCTTTGCATTTGTCATCTTTTTCACATCTATTACACGCAGCTTTCTGAAACATCTCTTTTACTGAACAGATGTGGAGAAAGGGGGGGTATTAAAAACTCATGCTAAAGTTTACTGGTTAAAAACTGATAATATCTTTAAAAAACTTTGGCTGGTTTCAGACAATCTGGAAAACTCAGGGGGTATAAATAAGAAAATAATGACCCACTCTCATATCACAAAAGGGGAAGAGGACTAAAAATTCCTCTGAGCAGCAAATCCTGGAACCGGTTGACTTAGACGTAAATGTTTAATGAAAACTCAGCTGGAACCATCGATATTAAAAATACTTCAAGAAATACAAAGTCCAGAAATAGCCCCAATGCATACAGAAATCCAGTGTGATGTCTCAAATTACTGGTGCAAAGATGGACTTTTAAACTTTCTTACTATAACTCACAATCCGGATGCAATAAAAGATTTATAAATTTGATCTCATAAAAATAAAAATCTTTTGCACGGCAGTAAATAACATGAGCCAAGTCAAAAAACAAATGACAAACCAGGAGAAAATATTTGTAACATATATCACAACTAGAGAGTTAATGTTCTTAATATACAAATAACACTCAAAATTGAAGGAAAAAAGACCAAAACTCCTAGAAGAAAATGGGCAAAGCTATGAACAAACAACCCCCCCACACACCTTAAGCACATGAAAAGATGTTCAATTCCATTCATAATGCAAAATAAAATGACACTGAAATATTGTTTCTCACCCACTAGATTAGCAAAAATATCCAAAAGCTTGGTAAACTATTCTATTCACGGAACTGGAGAAAGAGGCTCTCATACATGGCTGATAAGAATGCAAAATCCACAAGCTACTCTTATGTAGGGGAATGTGGCAATGTCTAACAAAACTACACATTCATTTTCTCTTTGAGCTAGGAATCCCACTTGTAGGAATTTAGAAGACACGCCTCCAACAATGCATAAATATTATGCACAAGGTTCTTCACTGCAGCATTATTTGTAATTGCAAGATATTGCAGGGGCCGGCCCCATGGCCGAGTGGTTAAGTTTGCGCGCTCTGCTTTGGCGGCCCAGGGTTTCGCCAGTTCGGATCCTGGGCGCACACATAGCACCGCTCATCAAGCCACGCTGAGGCGGCGTCCCACATGCCACAACTAGAAGGACCCACAACTAAAAAATATACAACTATGTATTGGGGGGCTTTGGGGAGAAAAAGGAAAAATAAAATTAAAAAAAAAAGATATTGCAAAGCGCCTAAATGTCTAAGAACATTGGCACACACAATCAGAGAAGTACTAAGCAGTTACAAGAAAGAATGGAGAGCTCAAAGAACTGATGTGGAATAATTTCCAGTGAAAAAAGCGAAGAAAAGCAAAGTGCAGACGAGGCATTTCCGAGTCCGGTCTTCCCAACCGCGCGGGGTGCGGGGAAAACGGCACACACCCTGAACTCTTCAGCAGGCGGGCTTCTGCAGCGGAACGAGGGAAGCAATGCTGCAAATACTTCGATGCATTACAGTACTGAGCAAATGAGTAAATCTGCTGATGTGGCTGGAAGACAGACAGATAAAGAAATCGGGCAAGGCAAGGAAGAACCCTGTGGGGATGAAATGGAATTGAACATACGGGGTTGGGCTTGTGACTTCTAAAATAACTATGTGCATATGTGTATACATACATGTGTGTGCATATACGTATGGTTATGAATGTGTGTACATCCGTACACATATTTCCCAGCTCTGTCCACTGAAAGGACCTGGAAGCAAAGAAATCCCAGCAGCAATGAGCACATCTAGTGTCCAGATCTTAGTTTCTAATACCATAGCCCAGTCAAAAAACCAAGCCTCCTTGAAGAAGTGGCTGATTTCAGGGCTGGTAAAGGAGGTTCAAAACGAGCCTGGACCATGTTGCAATACCACAAAGTAGGAAACTGCTCAAGAAATGATGGCGCATGCACAGGGACGCAGGAGCCAGTGAGAAAGGACGCCCACTGGCCACGTAGTGGAGCACCAAAATAATTAAGGGGCAATAATAAAGTCTAAACCATTGAAAAAATAGGAACCCATGAGTCTACACCAATATATAACACAGAGGAGAAGGGCGAGCTCTGAATCACAGATGAATGCTGACTATGAAATGGTAAAGGCAGAAAGAGATGGAGTTGGCAAATCATCCTCTTGCGACCATCACATAAAGAAAGGCTGAGGCAAAAATCATCAAGAGATGCTAAATCTGGGGAGGTATTTTGAGAAGAGCAGGATATTTGCATGGTCTTAAAGTGTCTCTTCACAGACTGACATCCCGAGAACACAACATCTTATGTGGTATTCTGGTCAGGACTGTATAACCTGAATGTAATCACAAAGAAACATCAGACAAACCCAGATGAAAAACATTTCATTGACAAAAAGTAGGGAGGGGAGCTGGTGTTCTTCAAAGATGTCATTGTCATAAAAAAGACTAAAGAGACATGAAAACTAGGTGCAACACCTTATCCATAGACTGGATCTTATGCTGGGTCATAGACTGGATCTGATATTGGAGGGGAAAAAGCAATAAAGACCACATTGGATCAAATAACAAAGCTGGGATAGGAAGAGTAGACTGAAGTATTATATCAATGTTGAGCTACTGAGGTTGGTAACCACACTACAGGCATGAAAGAGAGTGCCCTTATTTAGAGCATTTAGGGATAAAGGACCATGATGTATCTAACTCCCTTCAGATGGTTCAGAAAAAAAAAATGTATATGGGGGGGCGGACAGAGAGGGAGAGAAAACTCGACACACAGAGTACGTGTTTACAGATAGGGAGGGAGAGGAAAAGAGAGAGAAGGAGGAAAAGAGAGCATGTGCACAGAAAGCAAAAACCAAATGGAGCAAGATGTTAACCACAGATGTATCTGGATAGGGTATATCAGTGTTCTCTGTAATATCTGTGTGACTTTTTCTCAAGTTTGAAATTATTTCCAAATTAAAAGCAAAAAAAAAAAAAAGAATTATTGGAGATACCTGACAAGCTTGATGTGTAATAAATAAGGAAAAGTGCATTTCATTGAGGAACACCTTCTGATGCCTGCTGTGACACAATCCAGGACTGAAGTGTGTGTGTGCTTATACCCGACTAATAAATACATTATCAACCTATTAACACAAGGGGGAAGCTGCCCTGACCATTAACAAAATGTCCCATTTGATACAACTGAATCCCTCTGCAGCCGCCCGGGCTCCCGCCCTCAGAGCCAGCATCTGCCCCTCTGCATTTTTCAATGCCTGAGCCCTGGCTCCTTCTGAAGCACACTTCATTATCCAGTAACATTCCACCAACATAACGAGCGCCTCCCTCAGGCCACCTCCACCTCCAGGCCTACCCATTTCACTCCTTTCTGCTGCCATGCCAGCTCTTTCCTCACTCACTGCTGCCGTGGGCCCTGCTCCTCTTGCCCCTAGACTATTAAAACAGAATCCTAATTGGTCAGTCTCTCCCTCTCCGCCTCTTTCCAGACTCCCTTCCCCTTCAAATCCATTGCTTCCAAAGTTGCCGAACTTCTTCCAAAGCAGAAATTTGATCAAGATATTCCCAGCTCAAAAATTTCTATGGCTCTCCACTACAAAGCTAAATTTAAACTGCTTGGCATAGCACTTAGGATCCTCTGTCATCTGGGTCGCAATCTGCTTTTCTAGCCTTATCTTCCACAAGGTGGCTAAGCTGCAAAGACAACATGCGTTGACCTTAATGAATTCCATTACATGCACTCTTCCAGACATATCCACTGTCCCATTAGTGGGCTGATCAGCCCCTATCCAGCCCACAGTTTCCATTTCACTGTTGCAGTGTGTGCCAAGGCCCTACTGGCCATCTCTTCCTGCTCAAATACCACCAGCCTCTAAGAATGTTCCCCAGTTCCT